TGTCTGTGCGTGAATCGAATAGATTGAATCTGTGTGTAAGTGGGTGTCTGGGGTTCTGAAGTACTCAGAATAAGTACAGGTAAGTTATTTCATTTTCTAATTTTTTTTGAAAAACTGCTTTAAAATAAAGAGACGACATTTCTGATGCAAAACAAAAGCACACTGATCTCTATCTTTACATTATTTTTCTACTAATTAATTTTTGTTTTTATCTAATTTTTTCCGATACTCTGTTATTACCTATATATATATATATATATATATATATATATATATATATGCTGAATACAGTTCCCGCTTAATTTCCAAGTGGAAAAAGACAAGTGACATATTTGGATAACAACAATTTTTTAGAAAGATTATCTATCAATAAGAAAAGTAATTTTTTTTGTCAGTAACAAATTAATTTTTGTCTTCAGCAAAGCCACATTAGTTTTTTATTCTGAATAAATTTTCTTCTCTTCTAAATTTTTTTTTGACTATATCAAAAAATGTTTTACGGTGATAAGAATCGTTTAGATGCGCATTTTTACGGTCATACACATGCATCAGCTTTTTTTAACGGTTCAGCCACGATATTCAATCAGTTTTAAAAGCTTCTTTCTGGCTACCAATGTTAGTAAGTCTAGACTATGTGCGCAGCTAGCAATTAGATGATATTTTATATCATGACAATAACGATGATGGCAATTTGGGTGTCAAATTATTCAATAAATAAAGATAAAAATGTTATTTTTTTTAGAAGTTATTATATAACAGAAAAAAAAAATTGAGAGTCATAAGTTATACTACTAAAAATTTATTTGGAATTTATTAAATTAAAATTTTTTGTTATTTATCACTCGTCATCGCAACTATTGCTGCCATTACTCACTCTCTGTGCACACTAAGCATTTCTGGTTTTCTTTTCAAATCTTTCTCTTCATTTCTTACCTTACTTAATAAAAAATTCAAAAAATAGTAAAAAAAAACAGATTGTTTTTTGCTGTCAAAAACACAAGTATTGCTACAGATTTACGCAAAGCTTAATAAAAAATCTTTTTATTTATTTGAAGATTTAACAATTTTAGTTCGTTCTGTTTTTTTTTCTGAATTTCAGTATTATGTATTTCAGAATTTAAAAGACTTTTCTATTCAGTTTAACAAGAAATAACAAAAAGAAAATTTTTTTTGCAGATGCTTTCGCTGTTGTCTTTGCTATTGACATCAGGCAATGTGCTTCGTGCAGATACGGAACAATGGACATCCAGCACATATCCGAATCCAAAAACCAACGCTACCTTATGTAATACATGGCCAAATTCAACACTCTGTGATCCTGATCATATCCTAACTGATCAGTGGAGGCTAAACATCCATGAAAATCTACAAAAACAAATGCAAAGTTAGTTGCTGTCAAGAACATCCATACCTGACACTAGTTTTTCTAAGGCACTAATCCTTACAACCACTTTACCTTGCTTTATATAACTTATGCACTAAAACCATGTTTCGCGTAACAAATTATGAAAAATTGGAATCTGGAACTAAATTTTTAGAAGTGTTCAAAGTTATGGTTTGTGACTACCTGATGTAGTAAATAAGCAGCTTAGTTTCAGAAACAGTTAAATTTTATAGAACTTCGAGATGCAGATATCTTATACAATGACAACGCACCAGAGGAATGTTTTCAAAATTCTACTGATGGAGTTCGGATATACGTCATATTAGCAAAACGAATTCAGACCGCTTCAAATCAATCCATCACAGACACCGATTTGGTTTCTGAATAAAATTTTTAAAAAAAAAGATTGCTTTTGTTTATATTAATAAAATTTTAATGCATTTTTTAACATAAATTTTCTGTTGTCTGCTTATTCTTTCTCCAAAAACTGGTTCATTTTTTATTTAGACAGACTTTGGTAATGAAGTTGCGGAGCAGTATGGACTTAACGCACAACCATGTAAAAACTTTTTGATAATTTTGGGTGTCGAAGCAGCTAAACTTGCGTATGTTCGAGTAAGTAACTTGTAAAATTTATCTCAACAATCTCCGATGCAAAGAGAACAAAGTAAAAGGTTTTCTTCAAATGCAACTTCAAATTTGTTGCAAAATGACCACTTGTAGGATAACTGCTGTTTTTCCTTTCCCTCTTCTCTTACTGATCGTCTTTCTTCTCTTCTCTCCTATTCCTCTGCCAATCTTCCAGTGTTCTTCTTTGCATCCCATTTTCTCTCCGTCGCTGATTATTGAGCAGATCGTTTTGATCACCCACAAAAATGAAACAAAAATAACTCTACAGAATCAATAAAAATACACATCTTTTTTGTTTTTACATTTTTCCATTAATTAACTAGTCTTTTATCGGGGAACTGTCTGCCAAAAGTTACCGATTTTATTCATTTTTATTTTGATATTACACAGACATATTAACTTATACTATCTGTCAAGTACGTTTGATACTTAACAGTTTAGGAAATTTCTAGGCTTCGAGAGGACTCTAAAGTGTTCGTTATAAATTGTTGAAAACGATAAACATATAGACATATATGTGTCCATAAATGTACATGTTCATTGTTTTTCAGCAATTTCCATATATCCATTGTTTTTAACAACCAATATATGTATACTGTAGTGTACCTAAAGTTTTCACTTTTCCTGTATCAACGAATATTTTAATCAAACAGTACGAGCTTTTTTCCGCTGTTACATAAGTTTCAGACACGAAAAATGTTGGCCAGTATAAGTCAAATTTTTGTTCCAATAAGACAGTCTTGTTACAAATAAGTTTGGACTTTAATACAGCACTTAAAGATACGAAAAACTAATATACTGTTCATACAGTATGATGTAAATGGGTTTGACGGTAACCACCGACTATTAGTTAGTTCAGTGTGACAATAGAACATCATTTTTTTCCCAAAACTTAGATTTATCAATACAGCAATACAGAAATTTCGGATCTATAGAAGCTTAGATGTTAGAAAACAGAAAAAAATTTTTCTATAATGAAGAGAAGAAAGGAAAGAGCGAACAGCAGAAAATAGCAGCAAACAATAAGGATGATAATAATAACCAGTGTTTCAAAACTTACTTCTGCAAATCATATTTACTAGATAATAAACAGGAGAAATGAAGACGTGATTAAAGTAACCAAAACCTATTAACTATTAATTTTGGTAAATTGTTTTATTTTCTTCGCTCATTGAAAAAAATTCCGTCTTTTAACAACAATTTTTTCATCGTTTTTCGTGCTCCTGTTCATTTTTTATCTAAAAGCCACAAGAATTAGATAGGAACAATATATTAAAGAGTAGGGAATTCAATAGCTTTCTAACTGTCTCTTCTTCATACCACTTTTTAGACAGGAAAAGACCTAAAGTTGCCACCGGATCTTATGGAACGTGTATTCAATCAGTACACCGGATTTTTTAGCGCCAAAAACTATATGGAAGGATTGAACAATATTATCAATGAAATTGGCGAACAAATGATCGACCCGTTTAAGGCAGCTTTTTATGATAATCCAGAGTAAACTCAATTGTTTTTGCAGTGTTATTAATCAGAAATTGAGCGCAGAAGAATCTAGGACTTATTTAACTTTTTGAAATATCAGTGATAACAACAGTTTTATTCCACACTTTATGTTTTTTATTGAGATTTCTGATAGATCAGTGATAAAACCGTAACTGTTGACTAATCAATACGAAAGAAAAAAAAGACTCTGTTATTGCACCGCTGACGCCAAGTACATTCGTATAGTTCACTATACTAGAATTAATCCAAAACATGTTTTACATATAATCCAACAACACTATTTTAGGATCAAACAACAACAGTACTGTCTACAGAAGCAGATGATACGCAGACAACAGTGGTAACAACCGGAAGTTCGTTGGCGCCAGAAACACAGCCGACAGTATCCACCGATATGAACAACACTTTACGAAATACCTATAGCCTTGGACCACTGTATGTTTGTTTTTTGTACCTCTTTCCTTTTTTTTTTCTTTTTCAGCGTAACACCACTTTTTTTAAAACATTTCTGTAGCAAAATGTTCTGTTGATTTCGCGAGAGAAAAAAACAATGTAAAAATTTTTTTTGAGGTGGTTACTGTTGTCAGTGTTTTTTGCGTTGATAGCATTGGCACTACTGCTGGTCAATCGTTATCAAATGAAAAAACATAATCAACTACAAATGCAAATTGTACTTCCGGAACCAGCAAATATCAACCATAATTTTAATGGTACTAAAGCCGAAACTATTGAAAATCAAAATAATTGTCTTGCAGAAACCAAATATCGCAAAGGTTAATGTTCAGTTCGTTCTCTTGAAGTTTCAAAATTGAAAATATTTTTTTTTACATTCACAGATATTTTTTTTAACTTAAAAACTTGTTTGTTTTTTTTTTGTGTGTGTATGGGTACTTCACTGCGATTACTATATAATTTATTGTTTTTAGACGCTGACCGTAACAGTACTTTAAAATGCGATGATATACAACGAAGTTTATCAAAAGACGAAGTCGATACAGACAATACATCGTTACAGATTAGTCCAGTGAGCTTCTATCATCAAAACGATGAAAAAATGGTGGACAAAGAGATGATGGCAGAAAATCAGCAACAAAATGTCGATAATTCATCGAAAGATGATGAGAAAAGCAATAATTATCATTCAGTAATACAACCAGCAAAAAGGCAACAAGTACCATTATCAAATTTTGTACCACATTCAATACTAAAAAATCGTCAGTCTAGTTGTGAGCCTGAAGACAAGGCCAAAAAAATCATCAAACCAACGGTAATATCTGATGATAGTTTTGAAACGGAAAAAAATGACGATAATATTGAAAGACAATTAGATACTGCTGTTAGCAGCTATCCGGAAAGGCTTCCAGCTGTTATCAACAATAGCAGTTATGTGAATATTGATGGTGTAGAATCGACGATGAATGATGTTGAAAAAACTCATGAAAATGCTCACTCATGTTCAAAAAATCTGTTAGATGAATTATCGCCAACAACTGTAGCAGTCGGAAATACATTCCAAAAATCAGCTTCTTACTACAGTAATAAGGTATGAATTTACAGAAGAAAAACCATTACTTAAATTTTTAAATTTATTTATTTTGATACTTTTTTCTGCTTTCTAGCACTTCGTCAATTCTTTTCTTTTCTTTCAACGGATTTAATGGTTGAAATTTTTGGAATAAATGTTTAGTGTAAATTAATTCCACGTTTGCTGTTTACAGTCGATAATAAATAAAAATGGTTTAACTTTTGCAGCTAAGTAATGGTTGCTGTTGCAGAAAGGACCTAAATATAAAAAAAATGATGAATGATCAAATAATTTAAGGTTATCAAATAGGTAGACGTTGAAATGATTGAGTTTGGGTGATATTTATCGACGACAAGCAAAAACTATTTATGGCAATTAACTGTTGCATATGCTTCCTTTTTTTTTTGCGATGAAAAAAATATAGGAAAAACCAAAGAAAAAGTAAATTTATGAATAAAAGTTTTTTTAAGTTCTAAACTCTTGTTTGTAAGATTTATTGACCATTAGTTTTTTTCTTATTTTTAACATGTATCGTTATCACCTATTCTTTTTACCCTCAAAAATACTTTAACCACCTATTCAATTCTATCACTCTTATATTTTCTACTTTTTTCGATATAAAAGGAAAAAAGACAAAAACAGTTGGTACACCAATTGATTTTCTTTTCTTTTTTGCCTACTTTGTTAAGCTGTATATCGGGCAGCAATTTTACAATTGTAAACTTTTGGTTATAACAGCAATAAAAGTAGAAATATGTTGCTAAATATTAAAGTTTTTTTTAGAAACTGAATGACGTGTTTTTCTTTTTTTCTCTTGTTTTTTAACGGAGCATTAAATAGCTAAATTTACCGACAATTTGTCGAATGCGGAAGTAAACACACGAAATTTTATTCAATTAGTAAAAAAAACAGTCTTTTTTTAAAGTCGACAAAAAGAAAAAATGAGGGAGGCTGGAAAAGAAGGTAGGTGGGGACGGCTCAATAACTAAGGGGAAAAACAGCATTAGGAAAAAGCTCTTTATTTTAAATATTTTAAAAGTGCTAATGAAATTGTGCATTTTTAAATATTTTACAGTAAAAAATTTTTCACCGGCTTAGCGCCGAGAAGTCAGTGAACCGACGAAGTTCACAGG